GGGGGGGGGGGGGGGGGGGGGGGGGGGGGGGGGGGGGGGGGGCATACATGTATTCCTTGCGGAGTACGCAGTTTTGGTTCAGCTTTTGGATCATGCTCGCACCTCACACACAACAGCGGTGAGTACGCATTTTGTTTCAACTTTTGGATCATGTCCACACCCCACACACAACAGGGGTAGCAACAACCCCGAAGACAAGCCCACCTTGAGTTGCCCGAGGCAGTACGACACGGCCCGGGCCTGACGATCCGTCTCACTGGCGGCCAGCCGGGCGCACAGCTTCTCGGCGAGGAGCTCCGTGAGCTTGTCCTTCTTCACGTACTGCATCAAGAAGTCTGGACACGCGGAGCAACACAGTATATATAGTGCACCGCCGCGAGAGGAGAGGTTCGTTTGGAAGGGTGGGCTTTCTTCGGCATTGGGACGCGACACGGGTGCCATTGGATAGAGACCGGAGATGGCGGCAAGCCACAGTAGTGATCATCGGCGTCAGACCCGTCCAGGGTTCTACCACCGTGCTGGGCTCGGAGGCCTAGTATCCGACGAGATTACACACCTAATAATGTAGGCCAACGATCAAAACAAAGTATCGCCCCCCCAAGGTACCGGTTGTTAAGGCCAGCGTCAGTAAACGCAATCTTCCCTTGGAGTTGTCGATACGGGCTCCTTCAAACCTCACCCATGATCTCTTGGTACTCGTGAGGGTCTAACGTGTCGTCGACGCTGAGGCGGCCTACGATGTCGGGCAGGACGTTGTACACGGGGTTGGTTCCGCGCTGTTTCCACGTGACACCACCAACAACCAGCAGCGGTAGAGCGTACGATGCGCAGAGGCGGTCCAAAGCGCACGCAAGAAGTGGTGAGTGCAAAACGCCTTTCAACTAGGAACACCCGAGGTTACGAAACGGGAAAAGGGCGAGATTTCTCCGGGAATCGTTCCGAACGGAAAAAACAGCCAGCGTTGCCGACAGCCAAGCACCACTAGCACGCCAACACTAACCACTTTAAGCACAGAATAGCTTCGTTGGGGAAGGTACTACAGAAACTATAGCACGAGAGTTTGCCGTTGGGATGAGCAACTGCCACCGGTTCGGTTCGGTTCGGTTCGGTTCGGTTCGGTTCGGTTCGGCACCATTTCTTCGTTGTACGTTGTCATCCCTGTCACTTTTTCGACTGGCTTCACTCAAGTTCTCCTGGAGTTTGCCGTCGAAAAAGCTTTAACATGAGAGCCACGTAGGAAACACCCTTTCTAGTATCGGCATTACCCACACTTACGGCACTGCCAACAGCCCGTCGCGAAACATCTGAGTCGATAATTGCAAAGGTGTGCTTGCCAAGAGGGGGGCGGGCACAAGAAGAGAAAATGACGAGGGGGATCGGAGAAACGAGCCGCCGGGGGATAGTTTAGAGGTACAGCAGTGTCCGACAACAAACCTCGGAGTACTTGTTGAAGAAAACCTTAGCCGCGTCTTGGATCCTCGGTTCCTCGTCCACCATACACACCGCCAGCCCGCTGACTTGTCCCTTCACCTGTAGTCGGGGGATAACGAGCGGAGCCAAACGCAAGGATACTCTAAGGATAGTTAACCAATCATGCGACACACAGGCCATGACATGGACAGTTCAGGGAAAGTCGAGTAAATTAAAAACTTTGACATTGCAGTGTCGGCTTGTTTGTTGTGTGAATCCGATACCTTCTGCTGCACGCGCACAAGCCGGAGTTCACGTCGACGACGTCGTTAGCCTACCCCAAAAGCCACCGGCGTATGTAATTCGAACGGCCTGGCGAAAGTTGATACCATAAGAAACTGACGCGAGGGACACAAACAACAAAAACCAGTGCCGAACCAGCCAATACTGCTGCGCCAATCTGCAGGTCTCGACGCGCGTCCGAGGTTGTTCCTATCGAGACCAACTACCCCCACATGGAAGCTCGCACGCAGTACCCTCCTTACCTTCACCATATCGTTGAGGATAAGGTGGGTCAGGACCATGATGGCGTTAGCGCGCACGCCCGGGCTGTCGTCCTTGAGCCGGTTGTAAATGTGAGGGTTCCATGGCTCGAGAGCGTTGGGGAATCGGAAAGCAAGGTCTCCGAGCGCCACGATGATGTTTGCCCGCACCTGCGTGTATGTCGTGTGTGTGTGTGTGCAGGTGAACCGTGAGGGACAAAAGACCCCAAAAACGAACAGTCACGACGACGTTTCGAACTGCCATCTTCAGCTCGCTTTTCAGAGCCTACCGCTTGAATGAAACTATGCACAACAATCCAACACGCAACACTGCCTCTTAGGACAAAACTTCAGCGATGATGTCGACGATGCACACGACATATGGTGAGGCGTAAATGTAGGGGGCGCAACTGACCGACAACTCAGGTTGGTCAACGAAAGTCATGGACGACCTCAAATAACACAACATACAACCACGTACGACGCACTACATCATGCTGTCGACAGTCGAAAGATTTACCGCGTGCGCTGTGGGCATCACAGAACACTTGCACCCCGACACCAGGTCCACTGGACCCACACTCGCCGCTCTCCACGGCACACATCTACGAAATCTCCGTCGCCAGAGACGGGCTCCTGTAACTTAGGACGAACTGTAGCACGGGCTTCACCACTGCAGTAGTGGATCCCGCCGTAAAGCCGTTAGGTGCCAGCCTCTTGAACCGGCACCATAGCAGGCAACCTTCATCGCTCAGAGTACGAAACAACCTGCATATTCCATCTGTGTCACGTGAAATCACCGGAAATTATACAGGGACCACTCCCTGAAGCATGTCGCTAGGCTTCGCTCAAGGACGTCAGTTTCGCATGCAAGCCGCATCGCCGATCGCTCACCGCTGTGTCCTTTGACCTCTCCAGCGTGGTGAACAGGAGGCTGAGGTTCCGCTCGCAGAAGGCCTCGCTGATGCACATGAACTTGCTCAGGGCCAGCACGGAAGACTCCCGGAGGAGCGGGTGCCCGAAGCAACCGCCCTCGTCGGCCACGAGCCGCACCTGTTCGTCGTATAGAGACGAACCAAAGACCACAAGATGATCGACGACGGAACGGAGTTTTTTAAGGATGGAGGAAAGGTGATGGATGTGATGGATAAGCGAACGGAGCAAAGGGTGGAGGGAGGTGATGGGCGGCGGACCGAGGGATAACCAACCAGGGAAACATGAAAGGTGTCGGGTCAAAGTGGGGGGCCCAGACAAGGGTGAGGAGGAGGAGGAGGAGAGGGGGGCGAGTGGCAGATTACTGCTCTCAGCTTTCCTGGAAGACAGCGGTACGTAATCGTTTTGCCACCAAGGCCTGAACACGGCCTTGTACCCGGCAATACGCGGCTCCTTGGTTCTGGTTGTCCCGACACAAAATCATTCCGCACGAGACCAATCGTCAGAAGCAGTAGCAGCGCAGCAGCAGCAGCAGCATATCTCAAAATGAGGCAAGACCCCCAATCCCAAGACCGTACGTGTGGCATGGGACCGAACGCCGCTCTCTAACTCAACAGACCAGGTAGGAACGTGGTTTCTCCCTTACCAAGCACCCGGCCCTCGAAGCAATACTTGTAGCTGCTGCTGTACGCACCATCAATCGCCTCTACTTGTACTGACCCCGACGCCCCCCCCCCTCTCCAGGGTACGTTATAAGCCTTACGGTAAGCCTGAAAACCAGCAAAAAGTGACTTGCAGCAAGCACTCACGAGCAACGGCCCGAACGCTCCGAGTAGGTTGCGCCCGACGATCTCCTTCTCCACGAGCTCGGTAAGGCGCTGCTCGTCCTCGGCAGACGCCTTTTCATCGTATTTTCGGAATACGGACACACACACATAGACACACAGGCGCACAAGCAATTAGATCAGAACATACAAAGCGCCCCTTTCAAGTTTCCTTGCGTGTGAAAGAAAGGTTCTAGAAGACGACGCCCGAGGACCAAGAGCACCGCACTACGATGCCCAGCCTCTTTCGTGCTTGTTTGCTGAAAACTACAGCGTCATGCCTCCCTGCGGGAGAGGTGAGCTTGGTCTTGGCTCCCTCACCTCGGCGTTCAGGCCCAGCTCTTGGGCGGTGGCATCGTCGTCGTCGCTCGAGTCACCACCACCGCTCTTCTCCTTCGTCGGGGGCTTGACCTTTGCCCTCGCCCTCTCCAGGTTGCCCGCGAGATCCTACGGTACAACCCGCCGGAATATGGCACAACGCCGGCGCCATGGACCAACATAGAAGAAAAATCTTGTGAGTGTTGCTGAATAAGGAGGGGCACTGGGTAGAGTCGGGGGCGTTTAGTCGAAGAGCCAAATTAGCCTTAACAACATGGGAAGCCCATGTCACACACATTAATCGGCCAGATCTCTGTGGTTGCAAGCAGCTGCAGCAACGGCAACAACGCTAGGTCATACACGTCAAGCTTTCCAGTCTTTGTTGAGGAACAGCAACAACTACCAATAAAACAAGCGTTCATACGTCAGGAACAAGAGGGCATTCATTGTAAGCACGCCATCCCCAACCTATAAGCAGGCGAAAGCACGGCACAAATGGGAGCACCGAAAGGAAATTCGCAGCAGAGAATTCAACACATTGAACGATACAACTCGAAAAAAACACGAAGCTACCAACCGTCGCAAGTACTGTGGAAACAACACGAAGATAGTACTCAGCATCGCACATCGACGCCGGCTGATCGTCTCACAGAAAAGACAACAAAAACGGGTAAGTTGTTCTTTTGAGAGCGGAGGACGTCCGTCAAGTGATCAACTCAAAGCTACAAACAACCTCATTACTACTGATGGACTAGATAGAACCCCCAAGCTCCTGTGTAGAAGTATCTTTTAACCCAATCCTTTACATGTGGTCCCTGAAGCTAATCATCGAAGGATTCTGCCTTTTGTTTCTCATCGCTTCCCATCGGCGTTCTCAGTGTTCCCGTCCCCACAAAGACACCAACCGAATCCAGTAGAGCAAAACCAGTGCTGATTCCTAATCCATGGATATCCCCTCCCCCGCAAAACCAAATAAGAACGAAGATACCCTCTCCCCCGCTCCCAAAGTAGGAAGGAACGATTGCCCATCGGTGATCGGTCCAGTGGGAACAATGCTCCGTCCTTTCATTTACTCGTGGTCAACGGTCTAACCGCTGAGGCATGCAAAACATACAAGTACACCCCCCCCCGCACCCCGTATCAACACACCTCCGAGTAGACGAGAAGCTTCAGCGCGAGGTGTCCCAGCACGAAGCACAGCCTGGCGAGCGCATGGGGCGACGCCGAATCCGAGGACAGGGTATCCGCGGCGATGCGGCGGACAATGGCCGCTCCCAGAGCCTCGGGGGCACGGTTGAGATGGAACAAGACAGCGATGGCCTGTGCGTCATCGCGTGCAGCAGCGGTGTATGTAGCGCGGCGAGAGGGTTATAGGTGGGTGCCGTGCCGTGAGGTTGACTGGTCATAGGTAGATTGTAAAATAAACACACTCACGCCACCCCCACCCACCCCAAACCGGTTATGTCATTCATCCGGGGAGTAGCTTGGCCTCTCCCCCCATGACGCCCGCTCACAGGCACCCCGATCATGGCCTTCACAAGCAGGTTCTGCTTTGTAAGCCGCACTGAGACTGACATACACTCTTTGACCAACGGGCTACATCGGTCGTGCTATTTATAAACACATACATACATACAACTGTCGTCCAACGTTCGCCCTGTGACGCTCGCTCACGGGCCCCCCGAAGCAGGTTCTGTCTTGTAAGCCACACTTAGACTGACATATGTTGTTTGACCAGCGGGCTACCGCGGTCAATGCTACTAATAAACACATACATACAACTGCGTCCGCCCTGTCGGTAGAAGCCATGACCTTTTATTGTCAAGAATTGATGATGCTTTGTTATCCCGCAACAAGACTGTCGTCTTGTGTTTTCGTTGGTCAGCCCGCTAGCGCGGTCGATGCCACAAAAATGAAAACACACATAAACCACACCTGCTCTGCAGCGGCGAACCAGCTCTTCATCTCCGCGTCGGCCGCAGCGCGATCTTTGTTGCTCGTTTCTTCCGTCACCGCGACGCACCACTTTCCCTGCAAGAAATAGATGAGCCTGGGCAGGATTAGGTCCACCTCCTTGCTCTTGAGGACCACGCCGGGGTCACACCTATTCGTTTCCCGTTTGTAGTAGATGGGTCGCCGCGCAACGAAAAGAAGAAACGAAGCGCAGGTTCCGGTAGAGGGGGAGTCAGAGTTGTAGGGTCGACTACGTGTCAGCACTCGATTGATCGATGTGGAGCACAAGAAGCTGGGCAACACTGACAACATCACTGCAGCCGCAACTAGAACAACAATATCGTCAGTGTTTGCGAAAATCCTGTACACTCCGTGGTTCTTAAAATCACTCGATCACCAGACGATAGCCCTTTGGTACGTGACAGCCAACAAGGCAGACTGAAAGAGGCTCTAATGGTAAGATGCAGGTGTCATTGACACTCGTGTGGCCATTTCAGGTTCTGTTCCACAATATGTACTGCTGCACACAACACGTACACACAGCAAGCTCGGGCAGCATCAAAACCCGTATCATCACCCCCTGCCCTCGCACCTCAGCAACGCGATGCAAGAACACCGGACCGTGCGCCAGTCCCTCGACTCCATCGTGGCGCGGCCGAGGGCAGTCTCGCGGATCACCTCCAGCCTCGAGAGGTCGTTCACGAGGGTAGGGTTGGCGGAGGAGCCCATGGCGATGGCGTGGAGCGCGCCCGCGCGAGCCTTGGGCGGCTGGTCTTTTCGCCCCACTGCGCACCACAGCTGCTCGAAGACCTGTTAAGTTACAACATGGCCAGGAAGAAGTGACACGAGCAATGATGAAGTTGAGGTGAAGTCCTCCCTTTCCGCTAGCCCGGCCGGCGAAAAACGGACGTGCTCTCAGAACCGAGTACTGCACCACGAACGACAGTGAGTAACCCCCCCCCTCTCCTTGGCCAATGGTCTAATAACTAGGGCAGGCAAAACGTGAGTACGCGATGTGATAGCCTTGATCGTTTCGGCTTTGTAGGGATGCGAAGTCAATGGTGTAACGACTACGGAATGCACGGCTATGACTACACCCCCCCGCCCTCCGCCTTGCCTCCGGGTCGAGTACCGCGGTCTTGTTCTCCTTCAACGCGGCCAGGCTGTCCTTCACCAGGGAGGCCACCACCTCTTCCAGGCTGGCCAGCTCGCCGGCCTTGCTCTCGTTCACCAGGTTCACCAGGTTCTTGGCGACGAATTGCGCCGCGTTCGCACCCCCGGCGGGCGGGGGCGAATCATCCTCCCCGTCGTTTGATTCGGGTTGGACGAACACCTGGAAGAGAGCCAAAAGATGGCGGGTTAGAGATCTCACCGCAACGCCACGTGTGAAGAGGAGGGAATTCGTCTACGACAGACAGGCGTTGGGGACGACGTCATATGCATACCCGCTATGAAGAGGGTTTTTATGTCTTGCAGAACAGCGAATACGAACTCCAGTGTGGTCGGTTTTCCTCCCGTGTGAGCCCGCAGCTCACGTGCCCAGCGAATGTCATCATGCGTGAAGAAAATGCCGCCCAGAATAAAAGGGACGACACGTACACACAACGAGGATTGCTCATCTCCAACCAGAAACAACCAGGAGAGTAGCAGTAACAGCGGGGGTACCGGTGAAAACTAGAGAAAATAAGGTACTCATGTACTGCTGCGGGTAAGTCTCTACTCCGAGGTATAGCGCTGACGTCTCGGGGACCCTCTAATCGAATTTGACCGCTAATTCACCTGCACAAAGGCGTTCTTGATAGCGGTCTCGATCGCAGGCTCCGTGCGCCAGACGAGCGTAAGGGACTCCTTGATAGCCTCGAGAGCGCCGGGGAGCTGGAAGTGGCAGGCCTGCGCGTCATCGTTAGGGCGGAATCGACGACCCAGGTGCAACAACTTCGGCTTGACCATACTCCAAGTACAAACAAAAAATAACTGCAAAAGTCAGGCAAGACCCAAGGTAGCAAAGCGCCACAAACACGGGTTAGACGGTGCATGAAAGCAGTATCCCTAGCGTAGATATCGGTCGCGCTTCTGGACACGATAGCCCACGCGTCCTACGGATGTTGTGCCGCACACTGCAAGCGCTCACGCGCGTACACAACATCCCGCCGCCCGGGCGTTCGCGCAACACTACGCACACGCAAGAGCCATACCGTGCCCGCAGATGCACCCTGCGCCGTTACACATCTTCGTGATCACTACATACAGACTGCTGAACAGCAACACAGGCATGCAGCAGCGGTCCCAGCACAACGCGGTGCACCCCCCAAAAAGGCAAAAACAATCAAAAGCCACGACTCTTTCCTCAAGGCACTCACCGTAACCAAGTACCTGAGCGTCTCCACCACGTCGGTGACTGTCGTGCTGCCAAGAAGACCCTCGAGGGTAGAACCCGCCGATTGAAACTCCTCGATGAACAGCACCCCTGCCCTCAGGTGGTGGCACTGGGCCGCCTTCATGGCGACTTCCACCTGCTCCTTCGTCAACTGCACGGTGGGGGCGAGGGCGGGGGCGGGGGGCACATGGAGCTGGTTGACTGGGGGAAAGTTGGAGTTATCGGTCACCAACCAAGTATCGGGAATAGTCGGACAGGATGTTCATTCGGGGAGTGGGGAGGGGGGGGTGAAAGAGGGGTTCGGCATATAGTACGAACGAAACAAGCGAACTTGCAAGTGAATTTGAAAACACCTTGTGTCACTGCAAGCAGGATAATACTCTCCAAAGTGCTCTCCCGCACGAAATACGCGAAAGTGGAAATGTGCTCAACTATTGTCCATTCGAGCTTGCGTTGAAGCACATCCGGGAACGTGATGAAAAAAAATTACCGCTCTGTATGCGCCGACAAGGACGATGACGACGACAACGACTGCAAGCCAAGGTGCGAATAAAAGGCCAAGCACATGACTTCTTTATCAAGCACCCTTTACCCAACTTGTTACGGAAAAAAGCAAAAGCAAGATACACCAACAAAGTGCAATGCAATGCCGAACAAGGTATGCCACCATCAACCAACCGTTTCGCGTGTAAGCTCAGGAGGCGAAATTCGACGCTGACATATCGATATCCCCTCACACGGACACACACGCACCTCCTCGCCGCCGTCCTGCTCTCCATCGTCGTTGCCATCAACCCCGTCCTCCGCCTCTTCCGCCTCCTTCTTCCCCTCCTCTGCCCCTTCCTCTTGGTCTTTCCCTCCACCCTCGGCTTCGTCCTCGTTCTCCGAACCCACCTCACCCTCCTCTTCCTCCTCCTCGAGGTCGTTATCGCCCTCCTCATCGCTCCCGGCGTCGCTCTTACCATCACCTTGATTCGATATCGGCGTTGGAGGGGGCGGGGGGGGGGGGGGGGGGGGGGGGGGG